ATTATTGCACAGTTTCCTCCTCCTTGTTGTTTTTATATGTCATAGGGTCAGAACGGATTCATAGCTGACCCTCCAGCGGGTTTTCAAAGACTGTTTATCTCTTGGAAGGAGAATGGTCATCTTCCTTCTGTGGGTCAGTGAGGGATTCAAACAACCTGCCTTTGAGTTGGCAGTGCAATTCCTTACCATTAAAACTTAATTTTGTGAAAATGTTTATACTACCCACAGTGATCCATACATACAGTACAATCTGTATCCACACTCTATCTTCATTATTTAATGAGATGGAAAAATTAGTTATATTGGAAAGAGAAGAGACCTCAGATAAGCAAAGCACTACTGAAAAACAAGAAATAAGTAAAAACCCTCATACTATTCATCCTGTTCTTAAAACATTCTCCACAACCACAATACTCAAAACAGCCTGGCACTGACAAAAAAACCCAAACAACAACAACAACAAAAGACAGACACATAGACCAATGGAAAATAAATGAAAATCCAGAATTAAATCCATCCACCTTTGAACAACTAACTGGTCTTCAATAAAAAGCTTAAATACATTAAGCAGAGAAGAAAGAGTTAAAGAATTTGTTAAAGAATAAATGTTATATTACTGATAGAAATGCACAATGGTATGACCACTATGGAGAGCTATATGTTGTTGTTAGTAGGTGTCATCACATCAACCCTGACTCACAGTGGCCCTATGACCAATCAATGCCTATCCTGCACCATCTTCAGAATCTCTGCCTGCTCAAACGCATTGTTTCAGTCATTGTACACACCCATTTTGTTGAAAGTCTTCTCTTTTTGCTGGCCCCCTACTTACCCAAGTATTATCTTTATTTCCAAGGACTGACCCCCTACTGATGACATGGCCAAACTATGCAAGACTAAAAGTTTCTTGGCATTTGCCTCCAAAGAGCACTCTGGTTGCAATTCCTTAAAAATATATTTGTTTGATGAGAACAGAGGAGAACAGAGGCACAAATGGACACTTGTACACCAATGTTCATAGCAGGGTTATTCACCATCGCAAGAACATGGAAACAGCCCAGATGTCCAAGCACAAACGAATGGATTGAGAAATTATGGTACATTCACACAATGGAATACTACACAGCACACAGGAGCAATGATTTTATAAATTATTACCTAACTTGAGAGGGACTGGAGAGCATTATTCTGAGTGAACTAACTCAGTCCCATAAGGACAAATACTGGATAAGACCATTATTATAGAATGAGTATGAGGATCCAAGGCAAGGAGGGTGGGAGCAGAGTGGTGAGGATGGCTGGGGGATGGAGTGGTTAATCATGGAGTCATACAACTTGATGGGTGAGAACTGAGGGAAATGGGAAGGATCTGGTGTGCAAAACAATGTATTAGAATTCTGTAAATTATCTAGTTTAAAAAAATAGATTTGTTTGTTCTTTTAGCAGCCCATGAGATATTCAGTACTCTTCACCAACACCATAATTCAGAGATAACATTTCTTATTCAATCTTCCTTATGTTCTATCCTACTTCACATGTATATGGAGCAATGGAAAACAATTACGAAAACACAGCTTGGTTCAAAGACACCATAGTCCTTTAACATAAAAGGTTAGAAACAGAAAACATCATATAATACAGTCACTCCATTACTAGGTATATGTCATGCCAAAAGAAGAGCCATGATAAATAGATACAAGCATAGCCCTGTTTGTTGTAGCTTTATTCACAATAGCAAATAGATTGGGAATAATCTAAATATTCATCAATGGATTAATGGATAAACAAACTATGGTACATAGACATTTTAAAATAGTATGCAATGTTAAAGAATAATAATGAAACATGAAACAACTCATATAACGAATGGATAAATCTGGAGGACATGCTGAGTGAAATAAGCCAATCATACTTGTTGAGGAATTATTATAAAAAGGTCAAGAAAAGGTGTACACACAGAAGCAACCATTCCTGGATAGTTACCAGGGATGGGGGGGGAGGGGTGGAAGAAGAAAAATCATACACTACAGAGTAGCCAAAGCCAGAAGATGGTAATACATCGGCATGCTTATCCTGAGCCACTTGTCTCTCTCCACACACACATATTCAAAGGATGAAATCAACTTCCTCCATAGTCAGTAGCCTGACAGTTCTGGTGGCATAGTCCAGAGCATGTTTCACTGCTAACTGAAGTCTGTAGGCTGAGTGGAAAAGAAAGCAATACTCAAGTCAAGACAGGAGTAGCTTCCAAGAGTGAGCAATAGATTTGAGAGGGATAAATAATGCCAACTACTTTACTGGTGGCCTAGCAGTAAGGAGTTGCACTGCCAACCCAAATGTAGGCAGTTCGAATACACCAGCTACTATATTTGAGAAAGATGGACAAGCTCCTTCCTAGCAATTTATAGTCTCTAAAACCCATCAGAGAGTCAGTTATGAGTGAGTTTTTACCCAAGAGCAATGGGAGAGAAACTCAACCTGAATCATCTCAAAATTCAACTCATCCTCTAGCGTCCATCTCAAATGCCACCTTCTCTTGCAAACCCTTCCAATTCCTCTCAGGCAATAAACTCCACCTACCTGCTACGTTCACGGATGCTGGGAGTTGAGCTGTTGTTGTTGTTGTGTGCCATCTAGTGCCTGTGACTCATAGTGACCCTATGTACAACAGCCCTAAACCCTGCTCTACCCTGTGCCAATCTCACCATCTCCAACACACCTACCCCCATTACCCCAGTCATTGAATCAATCCATTTCATTGAAGTTCTTCCTCTCTTACACTGTCCCTCCACCCTCCCAAGCATGACGTTCCTCTCCAAGGAATGGACCTTCCCTTCAACATGTTCAAAGTATGTCAGAAGAAGCTTCAGAATCCTTACCTCCAAGGAGCAGCCTGGTTTCACCCTCTCCAAGACGAACCTGTTTGTTCTCTTAGCAGTCTATGGTCTATTCAATACTCTTCTCCAGCACCACAACTCAAAGGTGTCCTCAGTGATAAACGGACACTAGTATTAATGATGTTTTCAGTCTAGATGTTTGTTGTTGTTGTTATGCGCCATCAAGTTGTTTGCGACTCATAGCAACCCTATGTACAAGAGCTCTAAACACTGTTCTATCCTGTGCCAACCAAGCCATCTCAAACGCACTTATTCCCTCCGCTCCAGTCACAGAATCGATCCATCTCATCAAAGGTCTTCCTCTCCTTCGCCACCCCTTCACTGCCAAACATGATGTCCTTGCAACATGCCCAAAGTATGTCAGTTGAAGCCTCAGAATCCTTGACTCCAAGGAGCATTCCGGCTTCACCTTCTCCAGGGCAAACCTGTTTGTTCTCCTAACAGTCCATGGTATATCCAACACTCTTCTCCAGCACCACAGCTCAAAGTCATCAATTCTCTATCAACCCTATTCACTGTCCAACTCTCTGATGCATAGCACACAATTGCCAAGACTATAGCCTAGATCAGGCGCACCTTAGTCTCCAACCTGACATCGTTGCTCTTCAGTGCTCTTGAGAGGTCCCTCACAGCTCACTTTCCCAATGCAATTTGTCTCTTGACTTCCTGGCAGCTGTTACCAAGAGTCTTGATTGTGGAGCCAAGTGAACTAAAACTGTTAACTATCTCAATCTCTTCACCATCCATACTGATGCTGCCAATTGGCCCAGTGGTAAGAATCTTTGTTTTCTTGATGTTGAGCTTCAATCCATATAGGAGACTGCAGTCTTTGACCTTCTGCAGGAAGCGCTTCAGGTCCTCCTCAGTTTCAGCAAGCAGGGTTGTGTCATCTGCATAACACAGGTTGTTGATGACTCTTCCACCAATTCTGATGCCACATTCCTCTTCATACAGCCCAATGTCTCGGATGATCTGTTCTGCATACAGATTGAAAAGGTATAGAGACAGAATACATCCCTGACGGACCCCCTTCATAAGGATAGAAAAATTAATCAAATGATCACACCAGTTATTGTCTAATGTCTCTACTGAATGCAATGAAGAAATACTACTAAAGAGAACATTAATGCATATCTGGGGGTTTGACCTGAAAGAAGTAGGGGGAGGAGAAGGCTTCCTGAGGAAGTAAGGTAGATGGAGCCTGGACTCTGCTTTCATCACACACTCTCATTTACCCTCTGCTAGGCTGTGTACCCTGCTAGAGGCCAACCTCCACACCCGGAAGCTGTGGCCCAAGGCCTGGTTTAAAATTTGCACGATAAATGTGCACTGAACTTAATTGCAGTGGTTAAACCAGCTGGAAAGGAAGGCGGCTGAGTTCCAAAGTGAGAGGAGAAGAGTGAGTTGGGGAAAGACGACAAAGGGAATCCTGCTTATATTTCAGGGTCTAATGAAGTCCAATGAGGTCTTCACATTCCAAACTCAGGATGCAGGAAGGCAAAGATTTTTCAAAATGAACTTAGAAGGAAACTTGAATTCAAGTCAGTTTTCTTGGGTCACTTTAAACATCCCTGCCAGCTGTGTGAAACTCTTTTCTCTGTAAAACGGGACTATAAATCATGTTTCCTATCTTCCTATCCACACCCTGAAATGGCTAAGGGGAAGGAGGGAGGTAAGGAGCCTGGTGACTTGGTAAACTAAATATCGAACTGTTGAATAAAATACTGGGCTAAATGAAAGGTCGGTGGTTCAAGCCCACCAAAAAGACAAAAGCCTCCTCGAGTTAATATTCACAGTCTCAGAAACTCGTTGGAGTCTCACCATGAGTCGGAATCCCCCGGATGGCAGTGAGTTCGAGTTCTGGGGTAAGCGATGAGAAAGAAGTGGCTCCCCCAGAATGTTCTCCTAAGAGGGGGATTGGAAGGAGGGTCTGGTGGTGGCTTGGAGGCGGACAGCACGCTGCCCGCTCAGGTGGCAGAGGGGCCGAGAGGGGAGCCCATGCGCTGGTGCTGTCCAGGCGCCCCTCCCCGCCGCTCACTCGAGCCCTCCCACTTCCTCTGAATGGGACGCGCTGTCCGGGAGCCTCGCGCCTCGCACTGCAGGCTCGAGGCGCCACGACGAGGCTGCCGCTCTGGCTCACCGCCCCCGCCCGCCGCCGCTCTGACCCGGCAGCCGCCGCCGCGCCGCGGGCCATGGACCTGCCCAGGGGCCTCGTGGTAGCCTGGGCGCTCAGCCTATGGCCAGGTACGTGCCCTCCTAACTCCCCCTTGGTGTTTTTGGGTTCCTCGCTGGCCCGCTTGGAGCCTCAGAGCCAGCTTCTGGGAGCGGGACATGGTACACCTCCTTGGACTGCTGTTGGGGACTTGGGTCCCCGAGAACTGTGTCTAGCGGTTCCACCAAGTTACGCACAAGAAAGGAGGGCACTTACATCTGGGAGTCTGGGGTGTTTGAGAAGAGTTGAGAAGGCTCTAGTTAAAAAGCGACGAAGCTAGTGGACCTTTTGGATACTCCGAGGACCTCCAAGAACCACGCTGGGGTTCCCTGCGCCTCCGCGAGGGGCACTCGGGCGTCCCCAGAGCGCAAAGGGTGCGCCGCCCAGGCCGAAGAAAGTGGCTGGTTGTAACTAAACGCAGGGAGTGAGCGCCGCTTCCATTGCTCTCCCGCTTGATGCTGAGTTGGGGGGAGTATCCCCAAGTTTGTAGAGCAGGCGCTGCATCCCCAGGAGCAGAGGCTGCCCAAAGTTCCTCCAGCCGGACCGAGCAAAGAGACCCTCAGGTAGTGAGTCCCTTGGCTGCGGTGAAGGCGGCAGAGCGCAACCCAGCAGTCAGGGTCTCCAGAAACGTTATCTGACACCCAGCGTAGGTAGGGACAGGGCATCTCAGCTCTGGCCATACTCACTCGCAATTATGCAATTCTTCAGTAATCTGAGGGGACCGGCCGCCGCCGTCGCCAAGGCGCACGCCATTGCCTAATGCACTCCAGGTGTCCGGGCGCAAAGGGGACCTAGAGCCAGCAGAGTTCGTGGTTGGGACCCAAAGGTCAGGCCCCTGCTCCAGGCGCCTGGCGCCCCGGCAGGGTCTAACATGTGGGGGTACCAGCCAATGAGGCTATTCTAAGGATGGCGAAAGCAGCTCTGCTGGCATAGACCCCAAGGAGCTGTGCTGCTAACCCTGTGGTTCGAATCCACCAGCTGCTCCGTGGGGGGAAGTTAGGCAGTCGCCTCCCGCAAGATTTGCAGCCTCAGGAACCCGATGAACGGTCTGCTATAAATCGATTCTGCCTTGACCGCAATAAGAATAAGTTTTATTGTGGGTTTTTTATTTGGAGCGTCCAGGTGCTCCAGCGGGGAAAAGGCCTTCTCGGGCGAGGGAGCCTAGCCTGGTCTTCCTGCCTGTGGGCTCCCGGGAGGAGGTGGGTAGAGCAGAGATCAGATATGGCCTTGTGCAGAAAGGCCCCCTGCAAATAGGAGCCGCAACCCTGTTCTCAGACCTAGACACCACCCTCAACAGGAAATCTTCCAAGCCTTGCATTTGAAAAGACTTCAGACTAATAGGCTTCAGCTTTAGATCCTAGCATCACAATTTAAATTGTGTGATTGGGCTTTAAATGAGATTAGGGCTGGGAAACGGGTGCAGTGAAGTATTGTTTTGAGAAAGAGGAGCCTTGACCTGGCCAAGATACATCTAGAAACCAGCTATGGGGGAGGGGAAGCTGAGCCCACTTAGGGTGCATTTAAACAGTAGGGGAGACCAGAAACCAGCTTCAGAGCTCCAGGAGATAGAGCCACAAGGAAAGGAGGTGTACTCCCGAATTACCCCGGAGAGTAACTGGTGCTGAAGGTGACCCTACCAGAGCCTTGGGGACTAGGGACAATTAGACCTCAGAGAATTAAGAGCAAAGGGCTTTGGAATGAATCAAGGCTGGGTTCCATTGCCTGGTAGTAGCTCTGCAACTTTTCAAATACACTTCCTCCTCTGCAGAATGGACATAGAGGCTCAAAGTTGGTGAAGTTTTGGAGATTGTTAAAGTGAGGCCCTGTAAGAAGCACCCTGATCCAGGGCTGGGCACATTGTGGGGTTCAATCAATGGTCCTACATAATGTCACTCAAGTGAGAGCTGTGTGAGGAGAGAGGGCACATTAAAGGACCGGTGTGAAGTCAGGCTCTGTGACTCAGAGCTCCCTTGAAATGCAGAAAGCCATCCCTGAATTATGTCTGGCCAGTTTGACTTATTTTTGACATGTGGGATTCATTAAACATATCAGTCAACGTTGGAACAACATCTGCTCACAAAGAGCTGGGGGCAGGGGCCCAAGTGTGTGTGTGACCCAGGCTCGGTAACTGGGACTAGGAAAGACTGAAGAGCCCTGGTGCCCCATGGGTAAGCATTCAGCTGCTAACCAGAAAGTCAACTGTTTAACCCTACTAGATGGCACATAACAGCAACAACAATAGCTCCAAGGGAGGAAGGACCTCGCTACCTGATCCCAGGAAAACTTAGGAGACCACTCTGAGTGGAAATCGATTCCACAGTGTGTAACAAGAAGTATTCAGAAAAGTCAAAGGGCTGGAGGCTCAAACAAGAGAAATTCAGTGCCAGGCACTTAAGCAAGGAAGACTTCCTGGAAGAGGAGATATCATTCATACTGGCCCTAGAAGGATGTGGAGTGTGAACAGACTTTAAAGTGGGACTGCTTCTACTTTAAAACAAAGAGGACTGTTTTAAAATGCCGAAGATGACCCTGGGGAAGCTGGACTCTGAAGCTTGTAAGGGTTTCAGAAGTCATTACGTCCAGTCCCCTGACTCCAGGGCTGGACTGATGTTGAGCTCTTAAGCACTCATTATACAGATTCGATGTGCAGATTGCCAGGGAGCTTGCCTGCTGGTATCTGCATGGTTCAGATGGTCTCAGGCCTGTTACAGGCTAACCTGGTCCAAGCTATTCTGCTCTCACACACCCCCCCCCCCCCTGGTAAATCCAGACTGAAAATTTGCCACTGATGGCCCAGAGCTTTGTTACTAGTTGCAGGGAGAAGGGGAGGAAAGAGGCTGGAGCTGGTTGGTCATCTTGTAAACCAAAAGTAAATGAGCTCTGGATACTTTGATGGTGGATTTTCATACTGTGGAATCTCAGCCTAGGAGCCCTGATTGCACAGTGCTTAACCTCATGGCTGCTGACCATAAGGTTGATGGTTCAAGTCCATCAGGAGATCCACAGGAGGAAGGCCTACAGTCACATCCTGTGAAGACTGCAGTTTTGGAAACCCTCTGGAGTGGTTCCACTCTTGTCCTCTAGGGTGGCTGATGAATAGGAACTGACTCCATGGCGCAGCAGCAGCAGTCATTTATGACCTGTGGCATCCGACCTGGAGGAAAATGTCAATGTGGTCAAAACCCAAGAAGATACTTTCTCTCCTCCCTGCCTCTATATTTCATTCCCTCCATCACTAGATGCTTACTGAGTCATGGCAGCAATTTGTTTACAGGCTGAGAAACAAAACTGCCTTGATTCAAGCATTTCTGAGAGGCCTTAGGTAAGCCCTAAGGGCCTCATTTCTATAACTGTGAAATGGGGAGAATAATGACTTCCCAGCTGGTGGTGGGCTAAGTGATTCAGAGTGATTCATTCAAGTAGCATGCTTACAACAAAACCTGGCACAAAGTAAGTTCTCAATTAACGGAAGCAGTTATTAATCCTTCTTGTCATTTATTACGTGATCTATGCCAAGCACTGTGCTGAGCACTTTCTCATGTCTCATTTAGTACTTATTACAGCCATATGGAAGTCTCTGGATGATGTAGTTAACATTCTCAGTTGTTAGCTGAAAGATTACAGGTTTGGATCCACCCAAGGGTACTTCAGAAGGAAGGCCTGGCTATCTACTTTTGAAAAGCCAGCCACTGGAAGTTCTCTTCTGATATACATGTGGTCGCTAAGCTGGAACTGTCTTAGAAACAACTCTAACGTTGACTCTACTGGGTTGGGTTGGTTGGTTGGTTGGATGGTTTTAACAACCATGTGAAGTCCCTACTGTAATCACCAAGTTATATATGAGGAACCAAGGATCAGAGAAGTTAAATGATCCTTTTAAAGGATGCTAGGGAGCTCTCGTGGGCTAATGGTAAAGAGATACATTAACAATCCAAAGACCCGTGGCTCGAATCCACCATATACTCTGTAGGAGAAAGACAGACAGTCTCTTGATGTGTGATTTACAGCCTCTGAAAACCCATGGGAGAGAATCAGCTATGAACTGGTTCTGGCTGGACGGTACACAACACCAACAATGGCATGCTGATGAAGTAAGAGCAGATATTTGGATTTTATTAGCTGGAAATTCAGTGCTCTCAGTCCATGCACAGTACTTTCTTCAGGACATGGGCCTTGACGTCAGAGAAGCAGATAGGATCTCTCATTAAAGAGCGCATCTCCAGGGAAACTGAGACCTGTATGAAAATGGACATGGTCAGATGGGTCCCCAGGGGAGGGGCAGCCTCCTCTCTCAGATTGGCCAGTTCAGAGCTGGACTTTGACTCCTCACTCACATAGTGAGAAGATGCTTAGTGGGAAACAGTCCTCTTATGTCACCTTATCTTGGCGCTTCCCTCCCAGCTCTGAGTGCCCATGCTGAAGGAGACTGTGACTGCCATCGGCATCCCTCTCCAGCACGTCCAAGCTGAGCATTCCTCTCCACCCCACCTTCTGCTCCTGTCTCCCTAATCAAAATTGACACCGAGCTTCAGGCTTAATGAGTTAATTAATGCTGAACATCAGTAGGAGTGATGACAGCTTGATGTGTCCCACCCAAAGGGATTTGGATCTTAATTGGCCAAAGCCATAAAGAGGTAGAAGTGGAACCTCGGGCACTAAGAACCTTGGGCACTATTCAGGGGAATAGCTGAGGCAGGAGATGTGCGTGACCTCGTCCAATCACTGAGGGCCCAGTTCTTCTACTGGGAAGATGTTCTCTAGCTCAGTCCTTGTGGAGGGCGGTGGCCTCATCTTATAATGTGGAAGAAGCCGTTGTGTGGCTTGGGTGACATTACTCAAATGCAGGCAGAGAAACACCTTGAGGGGTTAGATTACTGAGTTTAAGAGTTTAGAACCATAGTCTGTACTTGGTCAGTTGGGATGTTGTTGTTGTTAGGTGCCATCAAGTCAGTTCTGATTTATAACATAAAACAGAACGAACAGTGCCCAGTTTGTGTAGATAATAAAGCATTAAGAAGAATGTGAATCCCAG